TACTAAGTAGGTAGTTATATATTACCATAAGAATAAATGTATTACCATACAGAACATTAAGAACAACAAAGTCTCCACTCAGCTGTACCGTTACACTGTCTGCCGCTGTATGAACGGCGAACACTTGATTTTGGGAGCGACCAATATTAATCATGTTTGAAAATATTCGCAACTAACCATTCACTAAAGTTATGACAAGACATTTAAGTATTAAATACTACAAACGTGTTATTGGGTTTTGATGCTGTGGAGCAATTCTCTAGTTTTTTATTTTTATTTTAAGAACCTAAAATGTACTTTAATCCTATTAAAATTATGGGCTAAGTCCTTAATCCTATTTTTAAAGTTAAAAGTTCAATTAATAGGTTAATTATTATAAATTTAAGTTCTTACTTAGTGCTTCATAATTGACTCCATTGATTTGCTCTACATCTTATACTTAATTGAAAGCTAATTTTGTTTAATAACTATTTGTCTATTAATTAATTTAATGTAACTAATACTAAATGCATTATCATTAAAATAATCATAGACAACCATACATTAAAATCATTTTCCAGCAGTAGTATTCTCTATTCGATACGACATCGCAACCTTCAAAAAAGAGCATACTCCTTATTAAAAGGTCAGTAACATAATTGCAATTGAAATTCTTCCGGTGTTGCAGATGCTCAGGGACATTGTCATTTGACATTAGGTGAGACGTGTGCTCGTTTGTCCCCTGTGTTATAAAAAAAAGACAAATACGGGTTTTTTTTTTTTAATTTTATTTATTTATTAGTACAAATATGTGTACATTGGCAGACTTAATGCTAAGAGTATTCTCTCCTAGTCAACCATAGGGAGTCAGAATACTCGAATGCGGTACTAGTAATTATTGATATACATACATACTAAAATTACATATATAAACGAATAAATATATATAAATAACAAATATACTTACACGTATATGACATATACTATATTATACACGAAATTGAGAATAATATAAAGTACGGTTTTTAATTTTTTATAAAATTTATTTCGTTTACATTGTTTTATTTAAAACTTAACTTATAAATTTATAAATAAGTGTACATGATGATGATGACGGACTTAGGCTACAGTAACCATTTACTAGATGAAAAAAAAACTTGACATCTAATAGTGTTTTTACCGGTCAATCAGTACGTACATACAGATACAATGTATATAATGAGATTAATTTATTATAATATTGTTCAATATTTAGATCACAATATAAAAGAAAGAAATAGAATTTTGCGCATTCAAATGATTTTGATTAATTAGGAACTCTGATAAATTATTTGACATTTGTTAAGTGTCCATTGCTGAATATAGGGTACTATAATACACCCCTTATTGGGCGTTTTGCTAGTAGTATTTCACGCTTGGCAGGCGAGTTGTAAATCACAGTTAGGCTTTAGTTCTGTTTTAAGAGGGACGTTGCTGCTCATCTCGTTGCCTTAGTCGCCTCTTATGACACTCACGGGAAAGAAAGGGGTGGCTTATTCTATGCCGGGATTACATGGCGACTTATAAAGATAGTATCTGTTACTGCAAAATAAATACGTCATAGTACTACGTGCTCTGTACAGAGTGGTCGCAAGACTGTTCATTTACTATTCGAGTATTCATAGTACGCTCATACATTAGAGGAAGATAGAGAATGGTTAATCTCTATCGCTTACCTCACCTATAGATAAGACTTAAATATGACCACTGTATGTTTCTTATTGACCCTCGGTGCAAAAAGAGGAGTGTTATAAAGTTTATTGTGTCTCTCTATGTATCTGCGTATATGTGTGTGTTTGTCTATGGCATCATATCTCTCAAACAGATTTGATGCAGTTGTTTTAGGTACAAAGGAAACGCATCGGCGCATACATATAGAGCGTGCACAGAATTCTGCTTATAAGTGTACTATATCTTTTTATTTTATTTAGGTTCCTTCATTAAAAGTTTTTTAATAAAGAACCCTTACGTTAGTAAATAAAAAATACGTTCATTTCAATTTTACTCACCTCATTTCATTGTAGGTATTATAATAAAGTGTAGAACTTTCTGAAAAACGATTCGTAATAAGGACCTAAAAAAAGTTATACTAATATTTTTTTAAAACAAATTTTAAGATAGAAATTAAATACAATTTTTTTTTTAATTAAGGTTGACTAAATTTAAACTTTATAATAAGGTTTATCGAAACAGCTAGGTAGTACGTGCTAGAGTCCAATACAAACATTAGGTAGCAGTCCTTGACTTGATATGCAATAGCGTTGTATGATTTGCATGAAATTGTCTATGGATTGGGTATACCTCACGATGCGCTATGCATACAAACGGACATTTGTTTCTTATACATTATGGATGTAGGATTACAGGAGAGGGACATCAAAAACATTTGTATATTGTTAAAATATTTCGACAAAAAAGCACATGAAAGTTTAATGATATTGAACTTTTCAAATTTCCTTACAAAGATTTTTTTTTTATAAATTTTAAGGGCTTTTATCCTATCCTTTTGTCCTATCCTCCAATGTCATTAGCATTTTTCAAGGGAGTTTCTACCAAAAAAATTAAATATTTTTCCACCTAAAAGATAAACAAACAGATAAACTCACAAATATATATATATATATATATATATATATATATATATATATATATATATATATATATTTAGATCGAATATCTAATTGAAATAATAGCACAGAGGAACTGTAGTTGGTACTGAGTAAAAATACAATCAAGTCTTATAATTCCTCTCAGGTATTCATAGGTCATCTTAATGGGATAAGTACGCAATTATGCCCATTCTTTATATATAAATTGGGCATCTTCAAAGTGTTACAAACAAAAGCAGGCCAGTTAACTGCATTATTTAGTCGTAATTGCTTTCAAACTTATAGTACATTATTTTAGTACAGGATTTTTTTTATAAAGTGATAATAGAATGGTAAACCCGTTTGTTCTTTACATTGGCAGGGTAATTGCTAGCAATGGGGCCGCTAGTCCCCATTACTAACAATATCTCCTCTTTCTGGTACGGAAATTATCATGCAAACACACCCGAGTCGTTCTTTTTTTATAATTAGATTAAACCGGGAACGAATCTAGATAAACGAGATGGCTTTAACTGCTATGCTATGTGGAATGGATCCGCTTCACGTTAAAAACGTTATAGAATAAAAAAAAAAATGTTAGCGCTCCTGCCTATTGATAAGAAGGTCGCGTGTTCAGGTCACGTCGGGGTCACCAGTGTAAAACATGGTTCCTATTAGGAAAAGTATTTTTTAACTTAGTTTGACTTTGTGAGTTCTAGTGTAGTGACTAAAGAATAAAATAAAATAGTTAATAAATTAAACTTGAATCAGCTGACGATTGCCTTTGAATTCTGAATTATCAATAAAAGATTTTTTATTTATGATCATGGCGATGGTAATCCCGTTTACGTCATCGTTTTATGTAAGCGGGTTACTGATGAGTCATGTTGGGTGAAGATGAAGTACGGTTGTTTTTTTTATTGGGGAAAAATGGAATGGCAACCCCGTCTGTGTTATCGGTATGCGCTGACGTGGCAACACTGAGAGATGATAGGTGAGGATGAAAGCAGGTAGTTGGCCCATTGTGACGAATTCAACAATAATTAACCAAGATGATTTCCAGAGGAGCGTCTACAGGTAAACCTAATAGGGTATTGCTGGGGGGAAAGTGATTGTTAGCAATGGAGTTTGACAACCCCATTGCTAGCAATATGCCTTATTAAGTCGACCTCCACGTGGTTCGCCCTGGAAACCATCGTGAACAATTCTTGTTGAATTCGTCACGATGGGCTAACTGACCTATTTCATCCTCACCTGTCATCCTTCACTGGTGCCTTGCCAGTGTATACCGATAGCGCGGGCGGGGTTACCATCCCATTATCATTCATTAAAAAAAATAGGGTATTGCTAGCAATAGAGCTGTTATACTCCATCTCTTTCTCCCCGATGAAGTTCGACTAATTTTCCTAATATAAATAATTCACAAGGAATTAGCAATTATGGTTTCAAGGGGCATCGTATTGAGGTCGTTTCGTCAAGGTGTATAGCGATGAGATTGTAGAACCCCGTTACAAAAGCCAAATACTCCGATTCCATGTTTAATTCTTAGTCAATAGGTCACCATGGGTCAACTAACTTCACCTCACCTTCAATTACTATTCATCACTGGTATCCCGTCCCATTATCGATGATAAAAAAAAAGAAAATGTTTCGATTCAAAGAGATTTGTTTACCTTTTCTATGTTAATCAATATTCATTCAATTTTGGTTATGTTTATTTTGATTTTTCCTTTTTTTAACCAACTTCAAAAAGAAGGAGGTTGTATTTTTTTAAGTTTGTTACCTCGTGACTCCGTCAGTTGTAAACCGTTTTGAAAAGATCTTTTTTATTTTCAATCAGCTATTTATTAAAAAATTACTTATCTATACATAAACAGAAATATAATACATGTATCATAACATGAATAAAACTTGAATTTTGATATGTATACTTCACACATATATATTTGGTGTAAGTAGTATTAACAATATCATAATTTGTAGCTGCATGATTACTTAGAAATTAAATTGTATGAAATTTCTAAATAAAAAAAAACAAAATAAGAGCACACCTACCAGAGTATTCTATAATTCTGTATTTGAAAGGACATACTTACAAATTAATTCCACAGAACATTTATCATGAACTGTTCAGTTTAGTTTAATTTCTTTTAAAGTAACCAGTTTCACCACAACTGAATCGGTTTCTATTTTGTGGAATTCGATATTAAATTATGAATACGTCACTTGACGTCATCGATTTGATCGACAGTTGTTAGTAAAACCCAATTAAGTAAAATGCTATAACATGAAGTGTACCTATCGAAATCCAACAATATTATGCGTACGCTTACATCAATTAAAGATTCTCGTGTACGTGCGCCGTGTTGAGTGTGGCTGCGCCCGCGCAGAATACCAACTCGCATTTGCGATCCAAACAGCGTGCGAAGCGGATCGCTGAGCGGTTACGGTCGCGCGTTTTGTGTGCTAGACACTTGGTTGAGCAGTTTTTATTTTGAGTACAAAGTTGACAGTGATGTCGAGAGACAACTCCAGGTTTAGCCGGCTAGGAGTCCTGGCTCCGGCTGCGCTGTCTGCCTGCATGGATGCGTCGGTGCTGGCGGTGCCTGCTGCCGGTGCTATCGTGTCGACTGTTCTCAAGGAGTTGAGCAAGGCGTTCATGCTGAAGAAGTGAGTAGTGCTCCCTTGTTTACATACTTTATAGTTTTTTGTGTGAAAGCAATGCAAATTGCATTGCTTGTCGGATAATTTGAAAATAATTATTAGATTCTCAAGTTGTTCTTGTCTTATGTGAATTTCGGGAAATCTCTTCTTATTAACCGACTTCAAAAAAGAAGGAGGTTCTTTCTCATTAATGTTACTGTGTATTCGTAGTATTTCATATTTATAGATTCGATAGTTTTGGCTGCGCGTTGATCTGATCGATCAGTTTTTATTTGAGGTGTATATTAATAAATTAAAATGTAATAATATTATTGTAATATGAACATGTCATAATATGTATAATATTATGACATGTTCATATGTATACTATTCCCATGCCAGGTTTTTTTATATATTATTAGTACCAATATAGAGCGGTCAAAGACATTTGACATCAAATACTTAGTTTTATCCTTTCTTATAACGAAGGTTAATGAATATTTGACACGTTTTTACGCTTAAACGGCTGAACCGATTATAATGAAATTTAGTATACAGATAAGTTATATTTTACCTTAGTATATGGAATGCTTAGTGTACAAATTCTGTAGGCATAAACTATTTAGCATTAATGATATTACCAATTAATTATGTCCTTAATGTGTAAATTGAATATTTACAATATGATATGGCGTGAATTTACTGGGTACAGAGGAATAACACCTGAGTCCTCAGGAATGGCAACGCATGGGGGGTATCATGGGCGAAACAGTATACTCTGTTATGTCCATGGTACTGCTCATGTCTATAGGCTACGGTTACCACTTTCCATCAGGTGGGCCGTCAGCTTGTTTGCCATTCTAAGTTGTATAAAAAAAATGTATATAAAATATAGAACAACGGCGAAAATCAACTCTCAATAGTATCTTTGACTACTCCCTCCCGGATATTAGCCGGGAACGTAGTCTTTCAATAATGCATAATCGTAATAATGTATTGTTAGCGTTGATAATGAATAATTACGGTACAATTTTCACTGAATTGTCTACTAAGCTGCCGTTTATTGCTTGAAACGATAATTAGTTGTGTATTGACAGGTTGCATGTTAGCCAACATCAGCTAATATAGTATCGGATAATCTCTGTGTTAAAATGGATTTATAACTGTATGCGCATAGCGAATGTTTGTAACATGAAATTTCTCTGTACGTCTCTATTAATTTGAAGTTTTTACGCTGAGAATGAGCATATAACTTTTATTGAAATATGTATAAGTGTAATGAAAAAGTTATGTGAATAAATTATGAAAAATATAAAATAATATATTTAATTTATTAATTTTTAAAGTTTCATTTCTGCGCATTTAGTATTGGAAAAAGTTTTTGAATTTTTATGGTAAATTCTATGACTAAATTTATAAATAATGTGCAATAGGTAATAATGACTCCATACCTATTCTGAGTTCTAATTATTAAACTTAGGTATTTCTTATCCTCCATTACCTGCAACATAGATGTTGTATCTACGTCATGTATTCAAATATTGAATATATATTTACCAGCGAAGATTCGTATATATGTTTTTATAATATGCACATAAATTTAATGGGTACAAACACTACCATATTGTGATGCAAATAAGATTGAAATCAAATATAGTTTATTCAGGAACACGTGGCACCACACTACGAACTTTAAAATAACGAATACATGCGCACTTATTGTAAAAACCAACATCTCCAGAAAAACAAGTACTAGAATTTTAAAAACACTAAATAATTTTATTTTACATAATTTACATGAAACACATAAAAAAGATCTATAAGAGATAAAGGGATCTCTTACAGTCAACCTCTGAGAAGCTGAAAAAAAACTATAGAATGTTCGAGATTAAAAACAGTATAGCTAAAGATAAAACTAAAAAAATACCTAGTTAAAATTAAAAATATATTACAATAATCGAATTAGCAATGAGGAGTTCCTGCTTAGGGTTAAGGAAAAAAGACAAATTATAAGAACTATTAAGGACAGAAGGGGAAAAATGTTGGGACACTTGATACGACACGACGAATTTATGAACATTATAATATAAGGAAGGAGGGGAAGAGGGAGATCGAGACATAGTTACATCAGGCAGATCAAGGAAGGAGTTGGTGTCGTGTCGTATCAAGAAGTGAAGAGACTCGCTGAAAATCGTTGTGAGTGGCAAGAGCTCCACCTACAAGAGCGGAGCTCTTAAATAGGATAGATAGATTACAATAATAAGTAAATGTATACACATGTGTATATAAATAATAATACATAATAAACATACACTTATAAATATAAATGAAAAAATATATCTAGAAAAACACACACATACTTGTATATATATTGGCTAAGTAAAACAGGAGGTACAAAATAAAACTTTATGATACCAGCCATGATAGTGAATTCCAGAGACGTATTAAGAAAACAAAAAAACAGTTAAATGAAAAACAGAAAAAAAATGTTAGCGATGCTAAGAGATAAGAAAAAGATCATAGATAAAGGATAGATAAGTATAACTCCGACTAACCTGCCACAGTAGGTGTCGATATTATGTCGACCTTTCAATAATTTCTCAAGCGACCGTGAAACAAATTAACAAAAAGCATTAATGTATAATAGTTATACAGTATGCAAACAAACTTATCAGTATCTTTTAAGAGTATTTTTTTTAATATTACCATAAAAAAAGAAAAGGAAACGATAAAAATTCTAAGCCACCCATTTTGAAATAATTAAATATCTTTTGGTGTTTTACGACCCCTGTTTTTTTTATGAATACTTAATGTTTCTGACACAAAATTCCCTTAAAAGCAGGTATGCTGACGAATTCCTATCACTTTGTATTCCGATTGTATCTATACATTTGGTGCAAATTTGGTGTTAGGAAGTATTGGATTTCTTATATAAAATATTGTTAAGGTTTCTATATTAGGAGGTTGAAAGGGAGATAATACTTTTAATATGCAATGAGAGGATTTTAGAATGGAAAACTACAGAAAAGATGAGGAGACAGACTTTAGCAAAATATATTTTAAACAATATGTAAAAACAATATGTCAAAAAAATATATAAATTTCGAATGACAATAAGAATATAAAAATGTAGCAAAGAGTTCGCTACATCCTGCCCCTCGTGCAGAACTGCACCAACTAGTTAAACTGGCCAAGGTCAGACAAACCTTAAGTGGTCAACTTTACTAGTTTTTTAAGGGGGCGCCGTAGCGTACCTCCTGCTGTGGCAACGTCCACTACTCGTGTTACCCCATCTCTGCCGGGAAACAATCTTTCGATCCGTCCTCGTGGCCAAGTACCTCGTGGTAGAGACTCGTCGACTATAAAGACTACGTCTCCGACTTGCAAATCCTGCGTTCCTTTTGTTTGGACTCTTAGTTGCATTGTGGGGAGGACTTCCCGCACCCACCGATTCCAAAAATGGTCAGCCAACCTTAATGCCTTTCTCCAGTCCGAACGGCCAATTAGGTCACGATCCTCCAATGGTGGTGTTATTTGGTTTGACGACGTACCAATGAGGAAATGGAATGGTGTCAAGGTGGTTGGTTCATCAGGATCGCTTGAAACATGAGTTAATGGGCGTGAATTTACAATTGCCTCAGCTTCTGCCACAAGTGTCGTAAGTATTTCTTCTTTGGGTGACCTTTCTTTGAGAGTGGCTTTTAATGCGACCTTGACAGATCTTATAAGCCGCTCCCAACACCCTCCAAAAGTTGGCGCTGCTGGTGGAATAAAGCTCCAAGTGATACCTTTTGTAGCCGCAAAATTTTTTACATCAGATGTGTAAAATTCTTTAAGAATGCGGTTGGCTCCAATAAATGCAGTACCGTTGTCAGAAAAGATGGTGGTTGGAGTTCCTCTTCTGGCAATAAAACGTCTAAGACTCATTATCGCAGAATCTGCGGACAGACTATGTACCACTTCCAAGTGGATAGCTCTTGAAGACAGGCATGTAAATAAGGCTATATAGCGTTTTTCGTGACGTCGCCCAATAGTTACAGTAACTGGACCGAAGTAATCCACTCCAGTATATGTAAAAGGTCGTTGATGATGTACCAATCTTTGTTGTGGCAGGTCTCCTCTTACAGGATCCATTGGCAAGGCCCTGCGAATTCAACAAAACGGACACTGTCTGGCTACGGATCTCACAGTATTACGAAGGCTAACTAACCAGAATTTTTGTCTTAACTCGTTTATCACCAACTCATGGTTTGCATGACCTGCACGGCAATGGTAAAAATGTACTAACAAGTGTACAACTGGGTGGCGACCATCTAGCAAAATTGGAAACTTGGTGTCTGGATCAACATCCTCTACGGCTTTAATTCTCCCAGCTAAATGTAAAAGCTTGTCTTCTCCAATAGTTGGTGAAAGTTTGCTCAGGCGACTATTTCGAGGTATTGGTTTAGAATTAAGAATCAATTTATATTCTTCTCCAAAACTATCTAGTTGCGTGCGCTGCAAGATGTGCCTTTCTGCGGTTTTAATTAAATCGGCATCTAATGGTAGCAGAATAGTGGACATTGAGCGCCGGCGAGAACGAAAGACTTCGCCATTTAATTTAGAATTTCGAATATTGGCCAAAATTTCTCTAAAAATAGCTACAGCTTGATGAACCCGAGCTGTGGCACGTAATAAACGAGTCCAGTCACTGAAGAAATCAAAATTTGCTGTGACTGGAAAAGCCAAATCTGAATTAAAAGAAGTGAATCCCACCAATTCCTGTGGTTGACACTTTAGCTCCTCAAGAACTGGTGCGATATTAACTGGCTCCTTTGGCCAGTTTTCTGGAGAATTATGTAAAAATGATGGTCCACAAAACCACCTATGTGAACTATCTAAATTAATAGTCCTACCTAATCTAGTCGCGTCATCGGCTACATTCATATCCGTTGGTACCCATCGCCATTCATTGACGGATGAACTTTCTAATATTTCGCCTACGTGCTGGATATCATGACGCCAAGGCATGCCTACCTCGAATCGAC